GCCCTCGTTCAATCGTGCATGGCCAATCGATCTACCCTCTCCAGATTCAGTCTAAACTACTCCTCATCAATAAAAATTACTGAGGGATCTCCTTCAACATTGTTCCACAGGCTACTTCGCGTTGCTTCTCCAATCCTACTAATCATCATCAGCGCTATCGGCCCCGATCTAACCACAACGACGCTGAGACTGGATTCAGTCGAGATGGTAACGAGCGCCGTGATAACCGACCAGGAGATCAATCAGCTCGTCGGTACTCTGATCAACACCAGCACTTCTCTTACGACAGGTGGACGAGCAACGGGCAGAGTGATTATTGACCCCTTGCGCCATCAAGTCCAACATTACCGATCTTCATCTCACCACATCACCCTCCCCAAGACGTTCCCGCAGTCGCTCGAGATCTGACAACCGTAGACCTAGGCACAGGTCGATCAGTCGAAGTGTGGTTAGCGGCTATTCGCGTACACCATTCGATATACGCTCCATCTCACACTCACCATGTCCGAGCACGTCCTCCGATCAAAGATTTTCCTCGTCTTTCAGACTTTGAGACAGAGTGGTTTTTCAAGATTCTGTCGCCGTTGCGATTGGTATTAGCAGGGGCGTGCCAAATCCAGCGACAACCGCCGAACAAGAAGGTGGGAAAGCCGAGTTGGCCGAATGAGCGTTTATCAGTCTGCTGATCGGACTCGAACTTTTGGATGATCTGTGGGGAGAGATAGACGAGGATAACCGATAACCACGTCCCGATCAGACGCCTCAGCCCAAACCGGCCCCTGGGATCCCCATCGATGAGGAGATTGGAATCGATCGAGTTGGAGCTTTTGTGTGCAAAATGGCTCAAGTGGTAAGACGCTTGCGGTCCGGTTATCCAAGATCGACTCAGTCTCTAAACGCTTCAGTGGTCCTTCTACGATTTTCTTGATTATCCAGGGCCGCACATCGTCCATTGGATTTGTAGTGCGCAGAGTTCCTGTGGGGAAAAAAAAGGGTTCAGTGTCTTGCAGCCACGATATGTTTGTTCAAGTATCCCTCCTAGCATGCTACACCTCTTTTATATTTATATTTGTATAATTGAATAAGTATCTCAAATGTGTACTTCTCGGGCCGCTCTACTTCTCTGTCCAAACAAATGTAAAAGAAAAATACCTAAAACATACAGAACAGTCAAATTCCGAATGATGTTATGTGCTTTGGGGACTAGCCTTTTCAAATTGGGAGCTTAGATGAGTTACCGCTCCGACACCTGACAAACTTAACAATGTTGGAAGCGCGAAGTCACCGATGGTGACTGAATCAATCATCAGATCAGCATTGATAGAACCTACAAAGATGTTCTTCCTAGCACATCGTGCTGTTGGACCTAATAGAATGTGTCACCGTGAGCCAAAATCCTCGAGTGCACGATTTCTGCAAAAAAACACTTACGTCTATTTGATGCAAAGAAAAAATCCAAGGAACCGCTTGAATGGTAAACATGAATGAACAAATGTAAGGAGGTAAGCCATTTCTGGAGAGTTTATATTCAAGACGCGTAGTAGCTTACCTAGTGCGGATCCAATGGAAGCAGGTGGGCAGACCTCTGTACCCTTTTCAGTTGAGATACAGTATCCACATACACCCATCTTAATGATGCATGCATGACTGAGGTTTGAAGCCTTTTTGTTGAGACCTGCACAGTTTGACCTCCGGACTGAAATTTTCCCCAATTCATTGTGATTTGCTGAACCTGAGGAGAGTTAATACAGCACTAGGTCTGAACCAGAGGAGAAGTAAGCAATCAATGATGAATGAAGAAACTATCATGCATTTTGAGAGCAGACAGAGCTGTGTTTTTACCTCAAGCCTAGTTCAGCAATGGTAAATCATACATAATCACACAGAAGATCAATTTCCCTGATGGTCACAATGGTCTTCATTGTTCATGAAAGATGGGCACTAACTGAACTCATAATTAAACAATAATGACTGGTCCAGTTCATAATTTCCACAATTCCCCATTATAAAGAAATCATGAAATCTCTGGATGAGATATCAAGTGCCTCTAGGGGGCAGGATACCCTCAACTGTAGTGTATCCAGCAGTAGAAGAAAGACTGAATTTAAGAGAAATCCAGATGTGATTGAACAAAGTATGAATCAAAATGAACAATAAATGAGTATAAGATGAATTTCTTATAATGATGTGATCAAGGGGACAAGAGCTGACCTACACACAACACACATTCCATTAAAATGTGCACATATCAACCACAGTATGGTCACTTGTGCACATATGATCAACCAAAGTACTGCCAAAATAAATCTGCAGATTTTCCAAAGCCCATGCTTTGGGGCAGTTGACATAGATGGGGAAAATAATCTGGATGATTCCCAGTGGACATAAATGGCTTCAGAATGGATGGAATCTTGATTTACAGATAGGAATCATCCCATCATCCTCTAACCCAACCAACACACATGGTCAGGATCATCAATGGATTTGGCAAGCAGTCATCCCATTTTCCACATACTTGTTGCATATAATCAAGCACATTGAATGATAACCAGTGTGAAAAATATATTATATCACCTGCAATCATATAATCAGCTTGTATGATTGCAAGAGAAGGCAAATGAGGTCATATCCAAATCATCATAGACATAAAAGGTGGACTCAACCAGATACAACACTTACCCCATCCAGATACCACACTTACTCAGAATTGATTGATTAGTGGTTTAATTTGTGCAGAAAATCCCCTTGGTGAGGGCCAATGATCAATATGAGAACCATCTCAAAAAATCCACCACACAATGGAAAGTATTCAAGATAAATGCATAATTCTCATTTGATATCTCTCAAACAGTAATCAATATTTGATATCTCTAAAACTCCCCCAAAATCTAATAACTGGAGTTTAAATCATTTCCCACATATCCAGTCTGGAGGCCAATAAGTCAAATGAACTAAGGACATGTAGATGATTCTCAATTTTCTACTATCTAACCATCCATCTTTGCTACTATCAAAATATTTGCTACTCTCTGTCTTCCATTTTTCCGAGTCATCCAATTTCTATGTCTGGTCAAAATTTCAAAAACCAACAAAGGATTATGGATGTCAATTGGAGGCCATGGAGCTAAATCTTTGCCCTTGTAAAATCATACAGCAAGTTTCAAATGATTATTACCACCTACCCTATGATCTTATGACAAATCTCCCCAATTTCAAGTAATTGAGTATTGATCATTTACAATTGATGTTCTTTGGAATCGAGGAAGCCATATGGAATTGATGCTCCACATGGATTTGAATTACAGGGCATCCAGGAAGTTACATAAAATACCTCTCTGAGCATTCAATCTTCATCTTTGCACCTATGTGCTCTTTCTATGCGTATTATCTAATAAGTTGAAAAATTATTAAAATAAAAGCCTCACTACAAGTTCAAGTGCAAGGGCATGAAGGATGCCACATTAAATGATGGATGTACCGTGCACACTGCAAACAAATGTGTCATGAAATCTTTTCACACTGCCAAAAAGCAATGCATGAATTTTGGTCAGCTTGACATTCCACATTATGTGCAAGGTTACTTCAGGGAGTTGTGCACAGCACAAACCCCTGGAACAAGGATTGCCTGTTCTCAATATTTGTCTTGACCAAGCAAGATTCATGAGTATTCAGGGTCCTCATAGTCACCCCAAATTTGTTTAGAGTGAGTGAGCTTATGACTCTTTGCCCCAAACTAAAATATTTACCAAAAAACATTAAGCATGATTAAGCCAAAAATCAGCTGCACCCACCTGAAGATCATGTCTCCAAGGAGTAGGGACTACAAATTCTTTGGAGCATAAACAAGCAAGTCCAAAAACAATGGTGTGCATATTTCAGGACTCCTGAGTATTTACCATCAGGAGGCTATGGATTCCTCCATGTTCATTGTTCTTAGTAGGTTGTGCCAATTGGTTCATTATGTTTTCAGTCCTCTGGAGAGCTTGTCCCCAAGGGCCAGGGCCTGCAATTTATTTGGGGAATAGACAAGCACACCCACTAACACAGGCACACACTTTTCAATATTTCTATGCAATCAGAAGGCTAGGAATTCAGCCATGTTAATTTTTATTAGCAGATTGCATAACAACAAAAAGCTGGTAGGATTGTTCAATCCTGATTTTTTAAATTCATTCAGGACAATTTCATAGATTGAATATGTTCAATCCTGTAGAGCTCATAATGATATTTCTATTATTGTCTTCTATTGCATTTTTGGCAGGTGAACTGTGTTTGTAATTTCAAACAAGTGGCATATTGGCATAATGGAATAATTGTAGCTTTTGAAATGTTGAACTAGGCACAGGAGAAGAGAATAGGTTTAGAAGAGGGCCAAGAAAGACAAGGTTCTTTTTTAAGAGAGGCTCAGAACCAATAAATTTTCTTCACAAGTAACTAGCCAGGATTAAATAGACTGAATACAAGTGTGAAAAATGTGTTTGGGTATAAATTGAATAAATATGGGAATAATGAATAAAAACTTGTTGATAGGTAAGCCCTGGGGGCTTAACATTTAACTGGCTCTTTGTCCCTCAAGATCGCAACCAGATCGCAATCATGATGTCATTGTGCTCAGACCCTTAAGATGACATCATGAATCAAATAATCAAATAGTGAAATAGGAAAAGAAAGAAATCAATCATAAAGACAAGAGTTGTTGAAAAAAATTGCCATGGAGAGTTGTAATTAGTCTAAAAAAGTTCATAAGATTCAACATCAAACCAGCTATGAAAGACTATAATTCAGTCCAGATCAAGATGGTCCAAGAAAAATAAAAGAGATGGAATGAATGAGATTTTTAGGGGGAGTAGATAGGAACAGAAAAAAATAATGGCATTTTCAAGGAGTGAATTTAAGGTCCAAAGATGACAGTAAGGTAGAAAAATGACTGAAAACATAGGAGAATAATTATATCCAAGAAGCTACTATCATAAATGGCTATATTTCCAACACAACAGATTTTACATTTGGATTTGGAGGAAATCTTTGGGGTCCCATTCATCACGGTTCAATTGAATAAAGCTTTCCCACTCTGAGGCCGCTTTGCTTTTCCACTTGAACCAGTGATTAGAGATTCTAGGTGCAGGAAAAACACTCCCTTTGAATTGAAAAGCATTATAGTGATACTGGCCTTCTAAATAAACAACAAAGATTGGGGGGTTGTTTGTTGGCCCATAAGTCAAAGGAAGATAGGTTGCAATGATCAAGTTTGAAATGTGAATGACTGGCCGTTGAAAAGCATCTGCGAGAAGATCTCCGTGTCGAGGAAAGTTGATCCAATGGGTCTTGCTCGCAAAAGGATGGAAGTAATTTAGATTGAAGCGCAATTGATCGAAAGGAATGCAATCGGATACCGTGGATAAGTACTTCTCATTTTTGTATACCTCAATTTTATCCATAACTTCCACCATAGCCCTTCGTACATCTTCCCAGGGATTACTTTTGCGGAGGCCCATACTCACAGCTGCTGAACTGAACCCACAATGTCCATCACCTGGAACATTACAGATTAGTGAGATAGAATGCCTCAAATGGGTAGGCACCGAGTTGTACTGAAGATGATCCTGCATTGAGTTGATATGAATTAAGATCAAATATCATCAGATTTTCCAAAACAATTGACAACATCATTGCAGTATTGAAATGTTACCTGGTCAAAACTAATCCATTCAAATGCTTGATCAGTGGTGTCAGAGCTGCTTTTGTTTTTTTCAAAGCTCTGGTTGTCGTCAATTTCCATGGAAACTGGGTCCTCGGATTCCACAATTGGTGCTACTTCTTTCGATGCTGCAATTGGTGCTCGGTTGGTTGGTGCTAGTCCCTCAGACTCTTCAATCTTAACAAGCAAAATCCAGTTGTTCTTGAGGCCGCGTAGCAAAGGGTATGTTTGGGGTAGGAGAAGCTTCTTGATAGGTTGCGAGAAGTGGTGCAATCCCAACTGCCCCGGGTTCTCAGCAATTACCAGTTTAAGGTTTTTTTTCTTGAGTCTATAGAGGGTATCAGTCCCAGGCCACGGGGATGTTGAGTCAGTCAGGCCAATAGCTTGACCTACATGCACAAAAAAACCATAAAAATAATGCACATTGACCTCCCTCCATGACTCTGAGTAAATGGTGAATTGTGAATGAGACAACTTACTGTACATGTCACGGAGCATGGTGGAAAGATAATGATGGTTTTGGGCCAGACCTCCTGAATTTGTTCCAAAAGGAAGAAAGAAAAATTAGCATCTTAAGGCAATGTACAGAGAGGGGGGCTGAGCTTACCCTGACACACATCACGATTTTCTTCAGGACTATTGATGTCTGGCTCCTCAGGAGGGTGATAATTGTTGATATCAGGCGTCTTTGAGGTATCATTTGATTTGGAAGCATTGCAAACAGCGCTAACAACTGGTGTGGTGATCTTTGAAGCTGGTTTTGTTCTGATCTTTGTTCCTGCAGTCCAGACGGCAAACCGACAAATTGCATCCCCTTCGTCAATCAGGCCACGCAGAAATACATCCCCAAGCAAACTTCCTCCTTGAAAGAAGTAAGGTTGGCGATGGTCCTGATCAGCAATTACTAAGAAACCTTCAAGTCCAAGCCCATCACTCAACTCCTTCAGCTGATTAACAAATGATTCAAAAACATCAGTAAGTTACACAAATGATGTACGAGTTTAATAATTGGACATACCTTGAGCTGTACACCCTTAGCCCAGATGTCAACATTAGCAAGTAGTTTCTTTGTTGACTGACGCCGGACATCAAACTGTGATCGGTCATCAGCATTAGGATCTTCAGTGGAGTCCGCATCAACCCAGTCGTCATCATCAGTTTTGTTGTAGAGGTCTCGCGAAGCTGGATCTAGTTCTCGGTAGATTTTAGAGGCATCCTTGTTGCGCTGACCAATACTGTTTTGAGCTGAATGAAGGTCAAAATACACAATCAGTGATCTTCTTGAACATTAACGGAAAGAACTGGAACCTACTCTGGTGATACTCCTTTTGGGCTGTCTTTCCAGATGATTGAAATTTATGCCAAGCGCTTTTCTTTTGTCGGGTCCGGCGTTGCCCAAGATATTTTGCGAGAGCCTTGAAAGACCGCTGATGTTTGATTGATAGCGGATGCAGTTGTCGTTGATATTCGAAATACACATCTTGAGCGGTGTGGTGGTCCAGGCTGTTGTGCGCAACAAAACTGCCAAAACCCCTACCTTATAACCTAAACCACTTACATATATGAATATATTATTACATAATCAGAATCTACATACAATTTTACCCATAGTCACTCACTACAACTATACCTCTATCTCTATTAGCTTAGAAGATAATCCAATATAAAGGTTAAAGCCATACCATAACTAGTCATTAATTAGTATTCAATAGTAGTTTACCACATATATATATGTACATAAACATAGATTATTACATCAGCAGGCCTCCACCAGTAGTGCAGGGCAGTTATGCAACTCTTGCATGCATATGTGCAACCATTAGGCCTCCACTTAGTTACTTAATTGAATTTATGCAGACTTTGCATAAATGCATGTGGACAGAAAAAACCTCCACCAGGCAGTGCAACCAGTTATGCAATCCTTACATACAGTAGTACCATATTTAGTTATTTCCACAGCATAATTAGCTCAATGCATGTACTCTTTGCAGGAGGCAGTGCAACCCACAAGGTCACCACCAGCAAAATCACCTCAACTGCATCACCACCAGCAAAAATAACTCAGAAAAGAATATATAAGGAGGCCTCTCCTTCACCAATTCCCCCCATGATCACCCAGCCGGTTCATCCCCCACAACCAGCTCAGTGGTCATCATAATCCAAGTCTAGTCAACACCAGTAACAACAACAACACCAACACCAACACCAACACCAACATCAACATCAACATCAACAACAACAACCAACAGTTTCACTACTTATCCAGAATCACCTTAAAACCATAAAACCCTATAAAATATTCCACTTGGATTGTTTTCACACTCACATTCACCGTGTAAAGGTTGTACAACCATCTTGTATTGAATTACATACTGATCTAGGTCTGATAGAGACTACTACATATAAAGTTTTCTCCATCATAGAAGTTACGCCACAACAATAAATTAAATTGTTGTCAGAATCT